GACTGATTACATTGTAACTCATATAAGTTGAAAAGCAACTGTACTAACTAAACTTTACATATGGTTATTAGATCCACAAAAACTGACCATATGCTACAGACATGAGGGAAACAAGGTAACCATTTTATGCAAATTGTGAGACAATCTCTCTGAGGCTAATGCAAATGCCAGAGTCTGCCTATAAAGGTAAATGCTGGGGCTGGGGTGATGGCTAAGTGGTTAAGAGCATTTGTGGCTCTTGGAGAGGACTAATATTTGATTCCCTGCACCCATATGGTAGCTCACAACCACCTGTAACAACAGTTCCATAGCATATAACACCCTCATTTGAGTTCTGAGGGTACCAGGCACAAACATGGCACACATACAAGCAGGCAAACACTCATATACATAAAAATAAACTAATTTTTTCTTTAAAATCAAATGTCTCTTTAAAGTTCATATCCTTATCTTACCTTAATACTGCCCTTGACATATCAGATCACAAATGAAAAATGACTGTGCTGCATAACGTAGAAATATTCTCTAATCTCAATGCAATGAAACTCAAAACCAAAAACAAAATAATAAAAGAGTAGCAAGAAGAGAAAGGATATTCTTTCCTACTCACATTTAAAAAAAAAAATCTCAAGACAAGCAGTGGTGGCACACACCTTTAACCCCAGTACTCAGGAGGTAGAGGTAAGTGGATCTCTGTGAGTTCAAGGCCAGTCTGATCTACAGAGGGAGTTCTAGGACAGCCAGGGCTGTTACACAGAGAAACCTTGCATCAAAAAACAAAACAAACAACAAAAATAAATAAAAAAAATCTCTTAAGGCATAGGATTCAGGGTCAACTATGTCAACTATTCCTACTGCACTAATCCAACATTTTACAACAGAACCACTTGTAATAGTAGAAAACCTTAGGCATAAACACTGTAAAGATGAATCTGACAGAAGCATAAAGTACAGCGACAGCAGCAGGGATACAGCTTTCAAAGAGGAGGGATGGGAGACACTTGAATTAACCCATAAAGCCGATGCTACTCCAATCAAAATCTTTAGTGGGTATTTTCATATTTACTGAACTTTATGTGTACGAATTTTTGCCTGCACATATGTACATGCATCATGTGCATGCCTGGTACCCAAGTTACAGATGGTTATGAGTTGTCTGTAACTGAACCCAGGTCCTCTGCAAGAGCGACATGTGTTCTTAACAGCCAAGCTGTCTCTCTAGCTCCTAAAGCTAATTTCTTAATCAATGAAGGAACAGTACAGAGACTTCAACTAGGACTGGGAATAAAGTAACAAGGATCCCTACCATTTACACTCCTGCTCAGTGCTGCACTGGATAACTGCCAGGGCAATTAGACATATCAATCAGGAGTCTAACAATTGGTAAAGAAATACAATTATGTGTACTGCTAAATGAAGTAACTTCAAGTAAAATTAACTCAATTTAGTATGCAGACAGAATATAAAGTAACCTATAAAATGTATTGTCTTCACAAACATTAACAGCTAGAAGACCAAAACAAAAGAGAACTACATTCATAAGAAGGACTAAATACTTGGAAAAAAAAATTAACTCTTTCAAATAGAAGGAGAAGAAAAAAAAAACCTCAAGGGCCATCAAGATGGCTGAGTCAGTAAAGGTTAAGTGTGCCGCACACTTCAGAAAGTCTGATCTCTCTAAGGCAGGGGCTCTCAACCTTCTGAACGCTCTGACCCTTAATACAGTTCTGCATGAGCCGTGGTGACCGCCAGTCATAACATTATTTCATTGTTATTTCATGACTATAATTTCACTAATGTTATGAATCAGAGCAAAAGATTTATCAAGGGGGTTGCAACCCACAGGGTGAGAACCACTGCCTAAGCTAAATTAATGCAGTTAATTCAAGGAAGCTGTAGAGTGGGAAATATCAAGAATATGTCTACTTCCTTGGACAGCAATTGCATTAACATAAGCAGTCTTAATTATTTGAAAATCTAGAGCCTTCTGAAGACTTGAAACTTTCAGAGGAAGGTTCTAATAGAAAATAACAGTTAATTTAATTGTACTGAACCTCTTCCAACAGAAGAAGCCAAAGTCTCAGGCAGCTCTGTATACCACCACCAGGCAGACTAGAAACCAGAGTGGGTAAATGCTATCTGTCCCCCAAATATGGAAGCCTGTACCTTGATTACTGACTGCTGCTTCTGATCCAAAAGGTACAAAGAAAGAGGTAGTTACTGTTCCTTTTTTGGCTGAAATCACTTCTAGGGAACTCTCAGAGCCAGTGCCTATTCTTTCATGTCTTTATTTGACTTTTGTTCAACTTCTGGAGACATATATGAAAGAGCAGGACATTCAAAAGCAAATGAAGAGTTAGGGCTGAGAGGTACCCAATAATCCTAGAACTCAGAGGAGGCTGAGGAAAGAGGATCAGGAGCTCAAGGGATATACATTTTATATGTATGGGCTTGAGAGATCACTCAGCAGTTAAGAACATCAGCTGCTCTTCCAGAGGACCTGGGTTCAATTCCAGCACCCACATAGCCGCTCACAACCATCTGTAACTCCATTTCCAGGGGATCCAAAGCCTTCTGACCTTCACATGCACACATGCACAGACATATACGCAGACAAAAACATAAAATAAAAACAAGCCTTAAAAGAAAAGTTAAAAAATTAAAAGCAGTAGATGGATATATTTTATATACCTAAAATAAAAAAGTTCAACTAAAGATCCTGTATCTAGCAAAAACAATCTTTAAAAATTTTTAAAACGTTTTATAATAAAGTACACTTTAAAAATTTTTTTTAAATAAAAGAAAATTCCAAATAAAAGTGAGGAAGTTGGTAGTCATAAGATGTATGCAAAACAAATGTTCAAGGGAGGTGAAAGGAAAGCATATTAAATAATAACTCAAACCCACACAAAAAGGAAGTAATAGTAAAGACAGTAATAGTAATAAAGACAATAATAGTAGGCACATGTGAAATTACAAAACTATTATTTTAATTTGTAACTTGTTTACTAATGGCATAAGAGATATTTTAAAATAATTTAAATATTTTTAAATATATTTTAAAATTAGTTAAAAAACTATTATTGTAACTTTAGCTTAATAATGCCACACTTTATTCTAGTTGATTTAAGAAATTGATTCATTGAAAAAAATCATGTTTGGGAACATATGGTGCACAGATATGTAATTCTGTGACATGAACAACAGAAAACGGTGTGGATGGTAATGAAAAGGAGCAGAGCTTGTGTATGCTTTTGCAATTAAGCTGATATAAAGTCAAACAAAAGTATTAGAAGCATTGAGATATAAACGTCAATCTCTTGGTAATCATAGGTATAAAATACATAATTAGAAGAAAATAAAGAATTTAAACATTCTACCAAAAGAGCAGAGTAAACTAAAAAAAAGCAAAAAGGCAAAAGAATTAAATACAAACCGCACAGTATTGTAGGGAACAGGTTGGGGGAGGGGATGAAATTTACAGACAGAAAATCGCAAAATAATCGGTCTTTTTTTGATTAGTAATTACTTTGTAAATGTAAATACATTAAATGTCCCAATCAAAAGACAGCCAATGATAGAATGGATAAACAATAAGACTCAACTAAAAGCTGCCTACAAAGCATCCACTATAAATCTGAAGTACAAATAAACTGAAAAGGAAAGCAGAGAAAACCAGCCCATGTGGACAGTAACAAGAGCCATGGAAAATACACCAACACTGAACAAAACAGACAAAACTTTATAAAGTTACAACAGAATGAAGGACACTATAAAATGGAAAGTTCAATATACTAAGACTATAAAAATTACAAACAGTTGGATATGTACTAGATCATCAAAATACAGAAAGTTAGGCTACAGAGAAGAGTACATAGGTTAAGACCTGAGTTTAGATCCCAAACACTCCTGCAATTCCAGTGCTAGGAGGCAAAGACACAAGGACCCTAGAGCTCAATGGTCAGACTGTCTAGATTAAACACCAAACTCCAAATTCACTGAAACCTTCATTCTTAAAATATATGGTGGACAGTGACAGAAGATACCCAGTGTTAAATGGTGGTTATCTACATGTGCAAAAATCTTACAAAATTAAAGGGGGGGTGGTGTTTACAAAATAGCAGAGATTTCAATATTCTATTTGCAACATGGAAAGAATAGGCAACTTTACTGAAAGGAACTAAATGTAAGGCATTCCTAGAACTAACAGACAATCCCAGATGGAGATTTTGTTTTCTACACCATTCCTATACCACTCTCCAATAAAGAGACACCAAAGCAACTTACAGAAATGGCTAATTACAGACCTGAGGCAAGGAGAGTCAAAGCAAAGTCTAGCACAGCAGTTCTCAACCTGTGGGTCTCAACCTCTTTCACAGGGGAAGCCTAAGACCTTTGGGAAATACAGATATTTACATCATGATTACCTATGATGCTAGAAAGTGGGGACATCCTCAGGAAGTGGCCCGAGGGTCTGACAATCAAATCTGAGAGATCTGTCTGCACACAGAAGTATAGTGCGCTCACAGGCGACATAGGAATCTACTAGTCTACAGTGATTACAATGACATTTACAAAAGGGAAGGCTCTTCTTTCCAGAATTCCAAACGACAAATATAGAAGAAACGATGAAACTACATAAAAAAATCACAACTGGAAAACACGAGTGACAACTGAAAAAGCAAGAATGGTGAATGGATGCTCAACTTAGAAGAACGTTTATGAGAGCATATACATAGTCTCAAAATACGGGGAAGGGAGCCTAAGAGTATTTATAGAAGAGTAAAAAAATATTTGATAGTAGGGTAATGATAAGAAACAAATGAAATAGTAAAATGTGAATGAAGGGAATAGGTTTGATTTATTGAAATGCTAACTTGGACTTGATTCCTATAATATGGCTAAGAAATCTGTCACTACATGGAGAGGCGGGGTAAAGGTTATAGATGAGTTTTCTGTGCTAGTTTTACACCACTATGGCGCCCCACCCTCACACTAACCTAATACTCTGGAGCTCCCTCCGGGCCGCCTCCTCTGCCATCTGTGAGGCCCGCAGTCTCTCTTCGCACTGCTCCTTTTCCGACCGCCTCCAGACATCATGCTCCACGTTCACTTTCTCTAAGTCTGATAATCTGTTCTCCAGCTCTAGCCTAAAACAACAGATGATAATTATGTTAGGAGAGCTACAATAAAGATGATCTGAGAATGCAATGTTTGCACCAAGAAATCTAAACAAACTAAGGTAGTAAGGACTTACTTTTCATCCTGTAATGCCACGAGCTTTTGGTAACCTTCTTCCTTGGCAGCTTGTACTTTGCGGACTAATTCACGATCTTTTTCCACCAAGAGCACTTTGTGGTGCTCAACAGTTGACTTGAGAATTTCATTGTCTGACTGCAATCCTAGTATATTTTTAGAAGGAAAAACTTATATTCAATATTAGCATCAAAGTTTACAATTAACAAGCATTTGAAACCCAGTAAAAGAAAGAATCTGAGCAGCGTCCTGGACAGATGAAGGTTCTCACAGAGCACCAGCTCATCACAACTTTCCAAAACAACAGTGAAACAAACACAACCTGGAGGTGAATGCTGATGTCACTTTTTAAACACATATTCACAACCTATCAAAATATACATTTATTCTTCAGAGACACTTATTCTTTTGAATCTTAGGAGGGAAAGATCCTATTAGAGGAATACCCAAAGAGGCGTATTTACATGGCTTTCTTACAGGGGTTCTGGAGTCCCAGGATAGTACCATAAACAAGCTGGTAACAGTATTAAAAACAAAACAACAAATGAACCCTTCAAAAGAAACCTAGGATTCTAGCAAACTGGCTACATTTCTAACAAAAATATAAACAGTAAGAAAAATTTCAAGTTTATTGAAAGGATTCTCAAATCTTGGGATAAATATTTTAGAGATGAATAACTACAGAAAATTTATTTTTAAACTTTAAAATATAATTCAGCAATAGATCCCAAACTCTAATACTAAAAAAATTTACTCTCAACTCTGGTAATATATAAAAAGACAAAATAATCATTAATAAAAATAAACTCTACTTGAAACAACAGAGGTCAACTCAAGCAGTTATAGCCCGAGGATAGATTGTTAAGGTATTTAAGAAAGAAAGTTAACCTCTGAGAAATCTTGATGATACATTTTAAGAATAAAATGGAATGTAAAATGAACACATATCTGACCTGGGATTTATAGCAAAAACAAACAATCAATTATGATTGGAACCGACCTCCCTATATTTGCTATCCTAATAACCAGACGATCTATAAGCACTTCAAATTCTAAGCACATGAAGGACAAGCTCACACCTTCAATCTTTCTTTTAATTCAAACAGTAATAAAACTATTATTTAAACACAGGGTAGTTCATTTAAAAAGATCACAGGATGAACAAACCATTCAACATAATAAAAACAGTCCCTATGTACTCTAATTTTAAATTTCTAGTAAGACTGAGAATCTGGAAAAGAACTCAGGTTGCTTTGTTTAAATAATTTGAATTTAGACGTGAAAATAATAGAGAAAAGCATGGGAAAGCATATATTACCATCCAGTTCACTTTGAATCTTATTCCTTTCTCTTTCTAGCTCACTCTTAGCTCTTGCTGCCTCCAATTTGATGTCAGTTATTTCTAGTTTGTTTGAATGTTTGAGCTCTTTCACCTGTTGGTTATTAGAAATTGAAATTATTATTGGATCATTTTCTTATCGTTCAGTACATATCTAAGCGTGTAAGCAGGAATAAGGAAATAATATAGTAGTACAGGGTGTTAAGAACCTTCCAAGAAAATATCCCAAAGCCCAGAACAGCAGAGTCTGAGAAATATCAAACAAAAGTTACCTTTTCCTAAAGGAACTAAGGTACTTATTTACAAATACTTGTATGGAGTCACCAGCACTTAATTTTTTTTTTTTAAATCTTAACTGTGGATAAGCAGCATTCACTGACAAATCAGTGGAGAGATGTTGGAACTTTCCTTTTAAAAAGGAAGAAATAGCTGGACATGGTGGTACACATTTTTAATCTTAATCAGTACTCAGGATGCACAGGTAGACAGATCTCTATAAGTTCAGACCATCTAAAGCTACTTGGCTGGATCTAATTTCAAAATACAACAAAAAAAGTGGCAAAAAAGGCACAGGCATGCTAGGTAGTAGGAACAGTAAATAAATGTTAATTAAGAATAACATCACATCATCTACTCTTTAAACAATGAGCTATCCCTTACAATAAAACATAGGGAAGCATAAAATCTGGAGAGATGTCAGGGAATAAGAGTTATTACTGTCTTAGCTGGAGTAGCCATTTCTATGAGGAAACACCATGACTGAGGAGAGGGTTCACCTGGCTCACACTTCTATAACACAGTCCATCATCAAGGAAGTCAGCACAGAAACTCAAACGAGGCAAGGCTAGAGACAGAAGTTGACGCAGAGGCCATGGAGGAGTGCTGCTTACTGGCTGGCTTCCCCTAGCTCACTCAGCCTGCTTTTTTAAAGTCCAAGGATGGCACCATCCACAGTGAGCTGGGCCCTCCCCCAGCAGTCACTCAGAAAATGCCCTACAACTGGATCTTATGGAGGCATTTTCTTCATTGACGTTTCCTCCTCAGATGACTTTAGCTTATGTCAAGTTGACATAAAATTATTCAGCACATTGCTCAACATACTTGCTTAGCTATTCAGGGTAGAATAATTAACTCTGTTTTAGAAAGAAAACTGATTTAAAATGAGTAGGATAAGAAATAAAAGCAAAGAAGTCAACTCACAGCAGAAGAATCAAAAAAGGACCAACTGAACTTGGAGACTAAATGTGTTTGTATGTGTACGTGCAAGTGAGGCAGGAGCAAGAACACAGGTACAAATCACATAAATCTTTTACTATAAAATCTGCTTCTTCTAAAGTCCCAGGTGAATGTCACCAATTTTCAATATTTTCCATAATTAATCTTTCACATATCATTTTTAGTCTAAATATTCCTACCCAGTTAAGTCTAGTTTGTTGGTAGTTAGTATTCCTTCATCCAACAAATATTAATTGAATACTTATTATATGCCAGGGACAATTCTAGGAGCCAGGAATATAGCAGCAAGTAAAGCTTTTTTTCCAATCATCCACAATATTAACATTTTACACAAACTGCTAAAATTATATACAAAAGCATTAAACTACAGATATAAAGGTTAGATAAACCTGTAATCTGACTTATACCAAAGCTTAAAATTATACAGAGTAGAAAACTACAAACATATACAAGACCAAACATAAAATGTGCAATGGTAGGAAAGGATTAAGTTATGTAGAACCCATTAAAACTCAACAACAAATGAAGATGAGAGTTAAATGGTTTCATGTAAACATACATCTCAGGAAAACAAGCAGTCTACTATTTACATTGCTAATCACAATAAAAAGGCCCTTTTAATTTCCTGTGCACCACTAAATGACATATAAATATAAAATAGTAAGTTTATGTTGGTGTTTTAATACTTAAATTTTCTTACTATGCCATAATTCTAAGGACAATTTATAAATGTATTAAAATGCTGTGAGAATTTAAAAATATAATTATAGTGACATACAGTTATAAGTTGCCATTGCAATTACTTGCAAAAAGTTGAGAACAGCACAGAAGTTCACTAAACTACACTATAGCTGCTTTTAATGAGGTGACAAATTCAAGCCAATTTCATAGAATACTGATTGATTTCACGATAAGGTCAAGAAAAACTAAGAAGTAAAAACTTTTCATATTAACCTCCCTGGGAGAGTTACAAATTTAAGAAAATATTCTTGAGCCTAAGAAGTTGGATCAGAAGTTGCAGCACAAGTCTGAAGAACCAGGTACCTAGGAAAAGGCTGGGTGTGCAGGGTGCACCTGTAATCGCTGTGCTAGGGAGACAGGAGTCCCTGGAGCTGGCTAGCCAGCCAGTAATAGCTCGATCAGTGAGTATCAAGCTCAGTGAAAGACTGTCTCACATAAATAAAATACACAAATGACGATGGAGAGGTAGCTCAATGGTTAAGAGCACAGGCTGCACTTCTAGAAGAATCAGGCTCAGTTCCCAGAGCGCACATGGCAGTTCTCAACTGTCTAACTCCAGTCCCAAGAGATCTGATGCCCTCTTCTACTGGGCTCTGTAGCCATCAAGCACACATGCTATGCACAGATATACATGTAGGCAAAGCATCCTTATACAGAAAAATAAATTTTAAAAGAATTTTAAATCTTTCAAAAATCTAAAATAAAATATGATAGACAACAATTGAGGAAGACACCTTAAGAACAACCTCTGGGCTCTACACACGTGCACATATATAGAGAAAAACATGTAACACACACAAAGTCACACACAAACACACAAAAAGAAACAATCTCAACAGGGCCAGATACAGGTTTACTTATGCTGTTCAACTATATATGCTCACAGACCTTACTTGCTTATAATATATAGAGCTAAAGTTTTTCTTTGGTGCCATATTTCTATGATCTTAAAATAATGGATTTACTTAAATAACCGGTAATTGATAAATTTCTAAAATATATTTTATATCTAAAATATAAAAACACTAAAAGGAATATTAAGAACATGAAAATGTGCAATGAAGAGCCAGCTTCGTGCGTAAACAGCTGCCTTACAAGCATGAAGACTTGAGTGTGGATCCTTAGAACCTAAATTAAAAATAAAAACTGTGTGGCAAGCCAGTAATCTCAGAGCCAGGGCAGCAAAAACGGACAGACAGACAGATTCCTGGGGCTTACGAGGCAGTTAGACCAGCCACACCAACCTTGGCTAGCAAGGTTGTCTCAAAACCTAAGATGGAGAACAACTGGGGAGAGACTGTCCTCCATACTCCAAAACGCACATGATGGCTAGTTCAGATAGCCATAATTTCCACTCTTGGTGCCATGACCATTATGTCCTTTGTGCTCAGGCTTCCAAACTCCTAAGAAACAGAAACCTCAACTTCAGGAGCTCCATGGCCTCTTCCATCTTTACCAAGCTAAGTCACTCTGTACTGATAGACTGTTGGCCAGAGCATGACCTTTTCAATTGGTTTGCTCTATACTTTTGACAGCACAGAAGCAAATATTCTACTTGTACTAAAACAGAATTTTAAATGGTAGTATTAGGTATTTTATAGATACTCAAAAATCTGTTAAAGACAATAAATCTACAAAATAAACTAAGGAAGACAAGCCTCTTTTGCTCTTTCAGAGAACCCACGCTCAGTTCCCAGCACCCACATGGTGGTTCACAGGCTCTGTAGTTCTTACCCAAGGGATCCAATCCCCTCTTTCTGACCGCCATAGAAACAAGGCACAAATACGGCACACATGAATACATGCAGACAAATACATACATATAAAACAAGTAAACCTTAAAAATTTTAAAACAAAGACCAGAGAAAACAATATACAGGAGAAAACAGGATAGTTTTATTAAAATGTGTTACACCAGAAGCTCTCCTTATGAATTTCAAAGAAATCATACTTAAAATTCTGACTTTTTTCTAAATTTTGAGGTGCGATGACTTCCCTAACTTAGCTGGATAGTCACAATTCTGAGGGATGGTTTTCTGTAACTAACAAGATTTCTAAAGATTGAAAATCTCATGAAGCATTTAAGGTTCTTTACTGGATGTGAAATACCACTAAGGACATCATTTCTAGGTCATCTATGATAATGTCTTTAATCTGAGGCACTGATACTGGCAAAGCTTTGTTCTAAAGCCTTACATTACAAATTTAAATAACTTAGTTAAACACACCCAGGTGTTCCTTTGCATTGCAAACAGCCATTTGCTAGGATTGCAAAATGTTGATGAAAATTTCAAGTTGCAAAGAAAACTGTGACACTTACGTTAGAAATATTTTTAAAATTATCCTTTCTGCAATCCTTTTACATATAAAATTTCAGATGAAACTTGCTTTGTCTGAAGTTGAAGGATATATTGAATACTCCATTTATATGCAAACTACTTCAAGTGTGCCTTTAAAAAACATGGGAAATTCTCAGCACAGTGCTAATAAACAAGCATAGAGAAATAATACCAAACTGCTGTTTTCCTTCAGTAGGTAAGAGACATCATTTATTCTCTAACTTGAAAAGAACAACAGTAAAGGGTGTGTGGTGTGTAAGAATACAGAAGAGAAAAGTCAGTACAGGTGAGCCAGAGAACTAGGGCAAACTGTAGAGCAAAAGCTCCACTCCACTCCCACCCCACCCCAGAGTTAGAAGCCACGACCAAAGTCTAGCATAGCCAATGTCCTATTGCTGCACTTCAAGCTACTCTGGGACAATGAACTGTAAATACTGGATGCTTAAACATTACTTAGCAAAATTGAAAACAATGCATATAGGACTTGAACAAAGACTTGAGAACACCCTATATCCTGAGTTTACCTCCTTGTGTTTTACATCTGTTTTGATCGGAGGGGGACTGAAATTTTGCTACACTCTTATCACTGCAGAATATCTGCTGTCCTAAATCAGGAAGAAGCATCTTAATTACTTCACTTCTAGTGGGGTTTATACTATAGGAAGTTGGAAGAATTCTTAGTGACCAACAGAAAAGGGCCTTGTTGCACTTAGGAAATTGGATCCCAATGAAATCAGCAAGATACTAATGATATGAAATGGCTTGCCTAAGGTTACACAGTTACTGACTAGTCAGTCTCTGAGGGGAAAAAAATCTGAATTTTTTTTATTTTCTAATTTAAGGATATGCTAAAAATAGAAAATAAAATCAATGAGTTAGGATTCAAAATATGTTCATCTGATTCAAAGCTCATGCCCAATGTATTTCATGACCTAGTCCAGAACAGCAGTTTCTACACTTAACTTAAATTTAAACCTATAAACTAATAAATAATACAAAAATTAAAAAAATATTAATAGCTATGGTTGGGAACGTAGTTCATTGGAAGAATGCATGTTCAGCACACACCAAAAAGGCACCATTTCTACTCCTAATATCATTGGGAGAAGGGAAGAGAAGAAAAATGTAAGTATGTGTGTATATTTAACCTTTAAAAATCTTATTTGTAGCTGGTTGTGACGGTACACACCTTTAATTCCAGCACTCTGTAGGCAGAGGCAGGTGGATCTCTTTTTGAGGCAAATTATGCTAAAATTACCTCCTAAACAAATGTTAACACGTGTCTGCCCAGTAATTGTGACTTCCCAGGGTTAGAAGGATGCAGCAAGAAAGGAAATATCCTTGCTATCATGGAGTTGACACTTGGTTAAAGGAGGAAATGCTTAGGAGAGATTTAAAAACAAACAAACAAACAAAAAATAGAAGCTGGACTAATATCTCAGTGGTTAAGAAACCTGAAGCTCTCGCAAGGGACCAGGTTCTGTTCCCAGAACCCACAAGTGGCTAACAGCCATCTAGTAATCCTAGTCTCAGGTGAGCGGATGCCTCTTCTGTCTTAAGCATGAGACATACATGTATAACAATACATACACACAGGCAACAAAAATAAATTTTTTAAAAAATAAAATACGAATATATCAGATGGTTTTAAGAGATATGATGGACAGATGGCTCAGCAGTTAAGAACACTGGCTGTTCTTTCAAAGAACCTGGGTTCAATTCACAGCACCCATACGGCAGCTCACAACTGTCTTGTTAACTCCAGAGGGGATCCAACACCCTCACACAAACATACATGTAGGCAAAACACCAAAGCACATAAAATAAATAAATCTTTTCCAAAAAAAAAAAGAGCTATGAAGAAAAGCAGAGCAGGTTACACACACAAATAAGGCGGAAGATGGCAAATACCATGTCACTATTTTTAAGACAAGGAAGGCAGGCCTCTTGTATTAGGTTAAAACTAAAAAAAGGACGGAAGCAAGATAGGTAACTAAGTGAGGAACGTCCGTGGCAGGCACACAAGAT